CAGCCCCCCCTGCCTACATGCTTATAACACACGAAAAATGTACACGGTGTCGAAAAACAATAGTTTATTCATGAAACTTTTTTTGTTCATAAGTTTTTTATAAACAATGAGCGACGGATAAAACCTTCATATTATTATTCAGGGAGGTGACCTTGATAACATATGTCAAAATTGTTGAGATCGGAAAATAGTCCGTATAACTGCATAATTACCCAAATATATAAATAATCTCTTTATAACAATTGCAAAACAATATCGGGGAGACAGAGTGTTTGTTACTTGAAAACTTTTTAAATTCTGACAGAATATTTTTACATAATTATTACATTATCAGAGTCTAAAGTGTTCCAGAGCCGTTAGATAATTTCACAACTTCACAACTTGAATTGTTAGCCGTTCGGTTAATGACATTCGGTGAGAGACAATCGCGCGCATTAATCGCGTCACGGTAAAACGCGTACGGCTCGCTTGGGTGCAACGGCCGAGAGTATCAATCGCGCTTCCGATGGTGCTTCGTCCGTCGCCAGGATAGGCGTCCGAAATCGCCGGAAGCGAGCTCGCGCCGACGGCGGCGACTACGACGACGACGACGACGACGACGACGACGACGATATACGTAATCCATTAATATCGGACGATGGACGTCGCATAGCGCGTTGCGCGCAAGGGAGAGACGTGTAATTAATGCGTGACGTTCAATTCGCAACGGCTGTCCCTAAACCGGCGACACCATTGTTCCGACAATGAGAGATAGAGACGAATGCCTCTGAATTGCTATCCTTAGACTCGACCCTGTGACGACACTCTCGCGCTCAGAGGGAGAAGGGCGTTTGATACCCGCAGCTGTCTGTGAAAAAAAAAAAAAGAAAAAGAAAAGAAAATTGATGGCAACCGTGCGCATTGTGTAGGTGAACATGTCCGTGAGACATGCGGAAATCCGCGAACAATCTGGTCGATTCCAACCGTATTTATAGAAAATATATATGTATAAGTAGAGAGAGAGAGAAGAGGGGTTAAAACACACCTCGTTCATTTATTTTCGTGATGACATTTAATATTTGCGTTTGCGTAGACATATCGCATCAATTATTATATTATTATATTTATACAGTAAAATGAGTATATAATTATCATTATAAACATCACCGCGCAAATTGCAAGCTTTAAATTAGAAATTCAGTAATAAATAATGTGCGGTCGAGGCGGGTTTAACGATTTTCCGGGATATCTCTGTGTGGCGCAGACGACGGCTGTATCTGGTGAATCTTTAATTTTGTCCTGTCGACCTAGCCCGGTTGGATTAGCGGGATCCGCCGCGATCCTCGAGCCACGTTCGTTTGTTCGTTCATGTGACGCGAATCGCTCTTCATCGAGCTGTGGCGTCGCGGCGCGACCGATAATCAAGAGTGACGGGCCTGCTCTCGTCCTTCCAGCCGGTTAGACAATTATTTGAGAATCGTAATGGACGGCGCGCGGAGGCGAGCGGACGGATGATATGACAAGCGCCTGCGCCCGTAGCCCGTCCCTTTTAATTAAATGAATCTCGACGGTATCGTTAAAACGAGAAAGCGCCTTGGAGAAACTCTATCTCTCCGCTGTGACGGAACACTAGAGCGATATCTCGCGTTCGCGTTCGCTGTGTATAGACGTTTAAAACGATCGTCATCGTCGCACGGGATCGTCAAGAAAGTTCGAGCCGATCATTTCCATAATGGATTGTTAAATATTCCCGGATATAGCGTATAAATATCGATAAAGTGAATATATATATATATATATATATATATATATACACGTATATAATATTTATATATGTATACATATTATTGTATAGCCGAACTGCGAGAACATTGCCTTTCTATATACTTTTAACTGTTTCGTGCCTCATCTTCCCGCGCCTCCGTCTCCGACGCCATGAATAATTCATCTCGTGAATTATTCATGCGAAGAGTACTTAGTCTTCGTAATACACATTCCGCTTAATACACACGATGCGATTTTGTTATTTGCGAGTCGCGTTAAGTGGTTGAAACTCCTCGCGTTCGACGGCGCGCAGCTGTGATGGATTCCGCTTCCACGTTTTCACGATTGAGTCACGCGGCTTTTTCGTGCCTGTAAGATATCATACACATTCTATTTCCACCGTACGCCGCCGTATTTGCTATAAACTATATGCTTCGTTGCTTTTTCGAACGTTGCGTTCTTCGAAGGAAGCGACGTTCGACGAAAGCAGTTTCTTTGACGCAACGTCCGGTTCTTAATCGCCGTCTTCCGTTCTTGCGGACTTTTCAGCCAGGATCTATTGACGGTATGCCGGGAATTGAACCTCGAGAATTCGGTGGAGGAATTGATGCGGGAATTGGGCGCGGACGAGCACGGTCGCATTTCCTATCAAGAGTTCCTCAGGCGGCGTCTGGCCTTGCGACCGGAAATCGAGGCGCTGAGAGCGGGCAAACGCCGGGGCAGTCCGCATCACACGCACACACCGGAATATCTGCCAACCAGCAGCGATAACAGTCTCGGTAAGCGCACTTTTGTTACAAGATCGCACGAATTTTCTCGAACGGAAAAAATTTTCTCTTTTCCGTTTTTTCGGCGACGAAAAATTTCACGCCGCGCAGAGAATAAACAAAAATCTCGCGAAGCAGGTGACAAATGTCTCGCGTTCGTTGATTCCGAAGACGCGGTATTTGTAGAAAAATGCACCAAGAATATCGCGGAATATCTCGCATCGCGACGAGTGATAATATACATATATCTAGCGACGATATCTAGCGTGCAGAGTGGCGGCGTTGCATGTCGAGGGAAAATTATAGAGCGCGAGCTATTTGCTCGAAATTGATGATTGATCGAACAACGAATATCAGATGATAGCGGAAATACTGCAGCGGCATTTGTAATATTCTCTCCGTCCAGATGGCTCGCGTATAACTGAATATGATACACGAGATCGACGAATGAATTGGAAATGACGACTTGAACGACATTGCGCCGCTCGCTTCCATTTTCTCGCTGCTCGCCGCTACTAGCGAACGTAAATCTTCATTGCGTGCGGTAATATTCAGAAAAAAAAAAAAAAAAAAAACATTTTGATATTCTCATCAACAATTTCAAAACTTCGCTTCGGACAATGTGTTTCGAAACGAGCTTCCACGTGTGTGCCGTGTGTAATTTTCAATTTTCCTCACGTAAACACGAGGAATTGCAATTTTCACTTCAGGAACCGTTTCGGGACGACATGAAAGTTGGGAATTCGACAGTGGTGCTCGTGATTTGTCGCCGGAACCTCATAGTCTTCAGAAATTGGTGGAGGCAGCCGCCGGCGGGACGGGAAATATGCTGGACCTGGCGAATAAGGTAAGTCGTCACGAAAGATTTATTCTTCCCCGATGAGAGACAATTATCGAAATCTCCGATTCTATTTCTCGATATTAGTTCCAATAACTATATATCTTCCGTCGCTCGCGTGATCGTTCGCTACGGCGAACGCGTATCTCACTGTTATAATCTCCGATAGAACATTTATTTATATCTGTTATAAATCGTCGGGCGTGCGCAAGAAAAATTACTTTTGCGTTAAGTGCAACATCTTCTTAACTTTGAAAAGGCTCTGCGCGCTCTTTGTCACATGATAAATATATCGCGATACAAGAAAAGTTTAAAAAAAAAAGAAATTGCCGAAGAGAAATATCGACGGTACTTGAAGTGCGAAAAGAATTCGAAAAAGAGATCGTAATTATGTATCAGCTTCGAGAACTCTCTTCTCTATGCTTGTTTAATACAACACTCGTGATGATGAAAAGTCAACGAGATGCGCAATTACCCAAGGCAAATTGTCTTTGCATGCCGATAATCCTCGGTTTTCCTTGGCGGAGGAGAGCACTCTCGTCCGCGCTTAACTCCTTCATCTCTCGCGTCCGTGGCTCTCTATTATTTCCCTCTTCGTATCTTGAGTTCGCGCCTGGGAATTTCTTTGTCAGCCGCAATTAACCACGATACCACCGAGGCGCGGTATGCCGTCGTCGGAAGACAGCAAGACGTGCAATTTCTGCATTCTCTGCTTTACCCCCGTCCGGCTTGTTTTGATCGCGCTCGGTCATGAATCGGTATCGCATTACGTGCCGGATAGATTAATAAAATCGATATATTTTCTTAATTATTATGTCTCATGAATTCAAATTGTTAAATAAAATATTTACATCAAATAAAACAATTTCACAAACTTGAGAAAAGAAATTGGCTTAGCTCTTGCGTTATTACCTAAACGTTTAAAATTACAATTTGCAGGAAAAAGAACAGGTACATGTGTGTAATCTCTTTATCAAAAGATCAAGTAGATGTTAATTTGAGAGGCGGATAAATTACGACAGAGATAAATTTTCGCATTCATATGCGAGACATAACTTTTTTGTCGACATGTGTATGAAAAACTTTCGCGTTTTATTACATGCTGTCATCTGGCCCGTTTTTTTTTTTTTTTTTTTTTGACGACAAAATTCTCGTATCTCGGGAGAACGTCCGCGTCTCCGGCTCCGCGGGTGATTCCGCGTTTTGCGATCGCGCGCGCTCGTATCCGCGCGCACGCGGTTCCCGTCTCATCTCAAGAGTCACACGCTTGCAGCTGCAGAAGAAGGAGAAATAAAAGCGCGCGTGTATACCGACCGAATTCCGAGGTTATCGCGATTTCTCGCGAGAGAGAACCTCCGCGTTTCGAGGAACGAGAACAGGAGAACAGAAGGAGGATGGTTCGGCGAAGGAAAAAAGAACGCGCGCGCCGTTTACTGCCTATAAATAACCGTTATTACGCTCTGCATTACGGCATTGAAAAAGCGAGAAAGCAGCAGCAAACTTCGACTGCCAGAAGAATATTACACACGAAACGCAAAAGAACTTACTGGGAAGCCATTTTACAAAGCGCGATATATATAGAGGAGGGATCATTTTTCTTTTTTTTCTTTTTTTTTTTTTTACATAAAATATATGACGCGTAACTTTTCTCTGCGAAAATTTACGAAGAAATATTTCATATATTTAGTTTAACGCGCGCGTAGTTTCAGTTTTATTCGCTTTTTAAGAGAATAACGTCGAGAACTCACTCATCCCGGATGGTGTTTTTCTTCCCCTTTATCGTAGTAGTAGTCGTCGTCATCGTCGTCGTCGTCGTCGTCGTCGTCGTCTGCAAATGTGCGGCGAAGAAAGCTTTTGCGCGTCGCGTTACAGTATACTGACGGCGTCGGCAGGACGTCCGTTTTCCGGCAAAACGCAGCAAATATGCAGAATCTTAGACCGCCCCGCTTACCTATGCAACCGCATTTTCTCGCGGCGAAAAACGCGAACATTCGACCTTGTACGTAGTGAAACGAGAATTTCCATAGAAATGGAATAGAGAAATCGCGCACAGGGATGCGTACAGACTCTCGAGATGTCGAGACGAGAATAAACATAGCAACGGCGTTAATTCTCTTCGTCTACTCCGGAGGCGGAGAAGATTGCTGCGAAGCCGAGTCCCACCGCAAAATGATACGCTAATGCGCAAACGGGGGGGGGGGGGTGGCTGCGTGACAGTTTCGCGTGCGGAATTAGTCCGCGCACACGTATATCTGTTTTGCTTTAAGACTTCAAAATGGCCGGTGCAGATATTGTCCGTATTATAAGTACACGTCACTGTTCAAGATACGTAACACAAGTAATTCTTCATACATTTTAACTCTCGACCTTTTTCTTGCTGTTGTGAGGTAATAATTTGGACCGGACGATTTTACCGCTTGTGTTATGCGACGTCTGTAAGAGATGCATTGCAGTTAATATTCCGTAATGGTAACAAAGTGGCCGTAAAAAAAAAAAAAGAAGAAGAAAGCGAGACGCGTTACAGTCGGTTCCGCGGAAGGACAGATTGTTATCAGAGCGTGCAAAGAAGGATGCGCTTGGCTCGTAAAAAAGAGAGGGCCAGGATTGGAGCGGAGACCACAAAGACCGAGTATAATAATACATATATATATATATATAACGTCTGCAAATAAGATTTCGTAATTTGTCTCCCAAACAAAACAACCCCGCGAGCGATTCGAACGCACCGATAACCGATTGGAGTTTCTGTCGGTTCGGAATCTTCGTTTTTCCGAAAATGGGAAATATTCCCGCTCGGAACAGTGTTTTTCTAGGACGTTCGATCGTTATTTTCCATCGCGACGCGTCCCACGTTCTTTTTTCCCGAGGATATTTACTTCTTTCCCTCTCGTCGTCTCGAGAATTTCATACCTCGTCGTCGTCTTCTTCTCGCGCGAGTTTTTCCCGCTATGAATTCCCGCGATAACGCTCGCGTGACGCAATAAACGTGCCGTACGCTCGGTGGTGCCATAAAATGCGTTAAATTGCGTCGATGCGTCAACAGGTGTGAGAATCACGCACGGAAATAACAAAAAAAAATGTCGCGCGGAGTTCGCACAATGATAAGCGCAAGCAACAGAGACCCAAATTGCACGCACAAATAACGATAATTACGTTTTTTTTTTTTTTTTTTTTTTCATCGCCATGTTGTATCGATACATCGTTGTTTTGATTCCGTTTCACGGTATAGACGCATACGGTACCGTATCTCCGCGAGACTGTGAAAAAAAAAAAATACTCGCGTGACGATGAGGCGCGCGGGAGGCTGCGCCGCTAATTAATGCCTTGTTTTTCATCGAGCGGCGTTTCGGACGTCACGCTCCGCTTGGCGTGTCGACATTTATAATCAGGCATATAGCTGACGAGTGCGAACTCAGCCGCGGGGCAGAATGTAGATCGGAGAGATAAATAGATCGGCAGATTCTTCTTTTCTTTTCTTCTTCTTTCGCAAAACGCTGGAATTTCGAGGACGGACGCGCGCAAATCGCGCCACAGACGAAAATCTTCTCACGGGAAAAACTGAAAACCGTCGTCTCCAACTTCTTTTCTTTTTTTTTTCTTTTTTTTTCATCTCTCTCCCGCGGGAAAGCGCCGTTGTCGTTAATCGAGAAATTAGCGGAGTTAATTAAGAAGCCGCGCCCCAGACCGTCCCGCCCATATAATTACACTAATACAATCGCGCGACCTCGGCCGTTCTTTCGGCTCCTTCTGGCGGCTCCCCTTTTTTCGCATTTTCTCATCTTCACGTTCTTTGAACGCGCTCGTCTCACTCACAGCGTCAGAAACAAGGAAAATCGCGACACTTTCTCATCGCGCATATATATTCCATCTTCATTGTCCCGGGTTCTCGTTCTCATTATTTATTTATGTCTGAAGATGACGCCCAATGATGATTTATTGCACTCGCGAGACTGATAGTTTGTCGCGGATGTAAGCGGTTCTCATATATTTATATCGCGCGGCGTCGCGAGAACGCGCCACGGCGTGCGATACCGCAACGTGACGTTTTTTTTTTCTCTCCCGTGACGCGCGTGTCTTAACGAGTTACGAGTTAGAAAGAACTCACAAGGCACTTGCGGTGATCCTAATAATTTTGCCTAAGTGTCGCTATTCGGTTAACCGCTATAGTAATCTTCTCGCGGCCACGCGATCGGCCGCGCGTGGTGTGCGTACTGCGTGTTGTTGTTGCCGGATAATAGTCACGTTCACTCTTCCTCTGTGATTATGTCAGCTGCGGGTTCTTGTCGCTTCACCTTAAAGGGCATCCGTTCTCAGGATGTAATGGATTCGTTTTATCTTAACCGTTCTATCGCTCGGTACTCGCCGAGCAAACAGAGACTTTTTCTTCGGGCAGCGAGTCAGCGAGCAGCGCAGTTTCCGCTATCGGTCCCGCAATCGACGAAGTGATACAGCTGATGTGGTGGCTCGTAATATACGTAATAAATATAAGACGCGAGTCAGAGAAGATAAAACAATCTTCAAATGTCTTAATAAAAAATTTAATACGCACGAATATATAATAACATGTTTGCAAGTATGTAAATTAAGCCTTCGCACACACAGACGTGGATCTCACTCAAAAATTCCAAACCGGTGTCTCTAGTAAAAATTAGTTTTTTTTTTTAAACGCTTATAAGCTGCGAAACTGCTAGAAATTTTTTCAATTTCTTTTTTTTTTTTTTGGCCGACGCAAAATTGTTCAAACTTTTGATTAAAAAAAAAAAAAACAAAAATTGAAGAAATATTAATTTTTCGCGGAGATATTCGATTTTGAAGTCGCGTGGGTGTCACAGACTCACTCTATTATTAGTCGTCGTTTTTGGAATCTGTATGCGACGGGTTAAATACGTAAAATATACCAAACTGACATAAAATGAAAGAATGTTCTCCAATGTAAGAAGAGAGTTGTGTGTTGAATAACACACAGATCTCTATTTGTGAAATCCTGCTGTTTCGTCCGCCATAACAAT